GCTTGTGGAGCCAGCTCCCAAACCAAGATTCGTCGCTTGACGTGATCGCTTGGCCGGGACCAAAATTAGAACGAAAGTATTGTCTCAGAAGTACCATGGTTCCGTGGCGGCACCATGAGCTGAGCACCTTTACATCTGAGAGGAAGCAACCACCTATGGTAATTAAGAAAATGCTCAAAGCTTAGATTGAAGCACTCACACTTCATTCATCATCATTCTGATGCAGAACTCAAAACCGAGTCTGGAGCGACTCTGTGCAAATCAAACCTGCACTTACCGGTAGTGTGCGAACACCTGATTGATCCAACCCCCATAGTTTGACACCCTGGTGTACACATCAAGATACTCATTGCCGACTCTGAAGCCATGCGAGGTGATTCCGATCTGATAACCGTTCAATAGCATCGGCCCTCCACTGTCACCTTTGGCAGTGCCAGCCAATCCTGAACGGTAACTCCCTGCACAAATCTTTTTGGCGGGGTCAAAATCCTTAATCATCGCCTTGCACAGCGCAGAATCAGCAATCTGAGTGTAACCTTCTCTTAGTTTGTCTGCTTGGTACCACTGTGAATGACGATCCACTGCTCCCCATCCAGCGATCAATGGTTTCGAGCCCACATTGTACCACTTCCGCCGGGACAACCTTGCCACTGATGCACCCGAGAAGCGTCGGGTCAAATGGAGGATCGCAATGTCGTCATTCCCATCATTCCCATTGTACGAGGAAGGAATCACGAGCAGGTCCACCCCCGAACTGATCCAATTGTTGTCTCCCTGACCCCACCAAACTTCGACGATGCTGGCATCAAGAAACATAATCCGTCCATTTCGCATTTGGGAAACACAATGTGCTGCTGTAAGAACGACAGACTCACGGATCAAAGTGCCTCCACACATGTGACTGCGTTTTCCTCCACGGCCAATCCATTTGATGGCAACCAAAAAGGGATATGTGGACTGGTAGCGCGCCCAACTCACAGACTTTGCAAGACCATCGACAGCCCAAATCCGCTCCTGCAACGACAGTGAATGACTCGCTTATTGTTATCATGAAGTGCAAAAAAATCGGAAAAAAAACAACAACATGAATGAACAAGACAACGCATCTGCCTCTGAAGGATAGTGAGGTGGCTGTCCATTCTCTTGTGGCTCTGAGTTGTTGGCGGTTGGCTCGCTTGACATGTCAAAGTCCGTCCCGTTCTCTGCGGGGATCGAAAGTGCGATCACGTTGGGACAGCGCTGACAGACATCGCCAGGCACACATTGGCACACGCCGCAGTCGGTGTAGACCGCTGGGCAATCTTGGAGAATGGATCTTCTTGAACTGCTTGGCACGGCCTGCCAAGGCCACTAGTCCCGCCTAGTCCCATCTAGTCCCCTGTTCTGTGAGCCGGAATGGGTCGTAACTTGATTGTTTAAAGACATTTAGAGACATTGACATGGGTTTGCTGCGCTCGGCAGCCGAATAGCAAGGAGTTCATGTCCATTCACAATCAACCTGCATGTCAAAACCATGACTATCTGGCACACGGCAACTTGGCAACAGCTGAACCCAAAACACACAAGTTCAACAAAAGAATCGTGAATTTGCCAACTTGTTTGGCATATCTTTGGCCACTCGTTTGACGTTCGACCTGCCGACAGGTCCCCATGTGCCTGAGGAGATCCTGTTGCTGCGCACCTTAGCTCTGATCATCCGAAGCAAACATATTATCAATATGACGTATCTGTTCTCTCACATGTCCGAAGCAAAGGGCGCTCTTGCGATCGCGTTTATGTATATTATATATACATACATATAGATTATAAAAAGCACGACATGCAGTCCCAACATCACACTCTGACATACGAATGTGATCCGAAACTTGGTTCAAGGATATCTAAGGGTGGGGGGGAGTGGATCATAAAGAATACCTCGTGTCAGCAAGACCGACAAACAACAAGTGGCAACATGATGACGAGCTACTGAACGATTTGCGAACATTAGTCAGCAGGTGGATCGCCTACTTTATTGATCCTCCCTTTGCGACGGGAGCGCCCCTGTGTGCTTGCCACTCCTTGTTCCAACACATGTGCATGCGCATGCTTCAGAATGCCAGATGTTTGCCCACAAGTGTACTTGCAATTGCCATGACGTTAGTCTTTCAGTTGTAGTTTGCAGGTTGATGTGGGTCAGTCTGCCCCAATGCTTTCGTGGAGCTCTTGCCCATCGGGCCTATGAAAGAAGTCTATCCAGAATCCACATATAGAGCCAGCGAAGTGCAGTGACTGTTGGCTTGTCACTCTGGATGCTCAGGTTTCGATTGATACATGGACCTGGATTTACATGGTCACAGTTGGTCAACTAGAACTGACACGCATTAGACTCACTAAACAACAATAGGCATCAATCCGTTCAATTCGCAACGGGTGGACAGCAACATCTCACACTCCCACACCAGTTGGGTTTTGACCATGGCGCTTTGACTGTGGCACGCATGTCTGGTTGCCGCAATCCACGTGGTCCGACGGGCAGCCTGCCATCTTGCTCCGCACGGCCCGCACGGTGACGTTCACTTCACCCAAAGGGCCTCTCAAAAAAGCGCTCACAGCGACACTAGCTTGCAACCTTGGCACCTCTTAAAACCCAAGGTGCACGCAACTGATGTTGCTTCACAAAAGCAACAAGCCATGGCAAACTACTTCTTGATCACTCATTGTTGAGAATTGAGTCATTGGCTTATGTACCTCCCTCCTCCTGTTTGGGATACTCACAGACTACAAAAGTGACGCTGAGATATACATCCCTTGTGCGAGATCGATCAGAATGCTAAAGCCCAACTTCCTCTTCCGCATCTTAAGGAAATCTCTGTTAATTAGTCCTCTTCCATCTACGACTTTAGTTTGCAGCTGCACCTCACAATTGCCTTACCTAGACGCAGCTCTCGTTGGTGTGGAGCATGATCTTGAAACCAATGCACATGGCACATAGTATACAGTATACAGTATACATGTCTTTAAATCTAACGTTTGGTACCAAGGTCGGGCCTGCTGAATGCATGGTTCCCAAGAAGAAACTCATTGAAAAACGATTTCTGATCTATGAGTTTTACCACCCAGCAGCCTTTGCACGCATCACATGCATCCGCCGGGGCGCATCCGCAATGTCCGCACGCCTTCAGGGCACCCAAGCAACATCTATAAACAAAGCCATGTTCATGCAGGACTAAGACTAACGTCCCAAGACAGGCTGGAAAGACTGGCTGTCTGAAGGAAGCAAAAAACAAGGAGCTGTCTTAATCGAAGGCCTGCCTTGAAACCAGGTGGGCAACTGGTGTTGGTGTGAAGCACTTCTTGCAAACGGGGCCGCGCAAAAACTGGTGGCGAGGTAAAAGCGGCTGCCCCCATGGCCATGGCCATGGTGATGACAGCGGGAAGACAGCACAGCGGCATGGAAAAAGCAAGGCAAGATCGCCACACCGGTTCCACTAAAACGCTCTCAAGCCGGAGCTGCAAGCTCAGAACACTTGCAAGGAAAGGAAAAATCGGATTAGCAGCTCCAGCGCATCTGTTTAAATTGACTTGCGAACTGCCTAGACAGACTATTCACCACAAACATGAAAGAGTAAAGAAATCGCTTTCCTCACCACATCCAACTACCCAAAGTGTCCAAGTGGTAAGAAGTGTATACAAGTTTGCATCTTTGTCCACTGTATGGAATTTGTCTTTTTACTAGCAAAGACGCTCAATATGCTTCAGAGCAACCGGCCCCTTGTCCACGTGTTTGGCGCTTGACAATTCAGGTATTGCTCGCTTGTGGAGCCAGCTCCCAAACCAAGATTCGTCGCTTGACGTGATCGCTTGGCCGGGACCAAAATTAGAACGAAAGTATTGTCTCAGAAGTACCATGGTTCCGTGGCGGCACCATGAGCTGAGCACCT